AAAGGGTCATTTCATTTATTTCGGCTCAGGAGAGACGGAGGTACAGCAGATAGGCCGAAGGCCCATACCAGATAACCTGCAAACACACAAACAAAACAAAAAAGAGGGAGGGGGAGGGGGGGCTCGGCAGCTCGGTCCTGAGGACAGGAGGGGCTCAAGCCCACCCTGCCCCCCCGCTTCCGGAGCCCCTGCCAGCCGCGATTCACCAATCTTCGCTCATCTTTGCACTTCTGGAGCCACGGGTCGGGAGGCAAATGGAAGCAAGCTTTACCTGACTAGGCCCCACCACCCTTGTGCATCGCTCAGCAGTGCAGTGTAGTAGCAAACACAAACACACAAATAATTGTAAGTGAGGTCACTGCAACAAATAACGGTCGGTACTGTCACACAAGGATCTGAAACCTAAACACATAATTGATAATATTCTTATGCGTGAAAATATAAATTAGCATTAGTATAAAATTCAACAAAATAATCTTTCAGCCTTTCCATTCTGGTAAGAAGGAAGAGCTGCGGAGCTGTAGCTTTTGTTCTCGGCGGTGGCTTTCCAGGCGAGCCATCTGCTCTTCTTTGGCAAAGGAATCAGATGCGCTCGACGCAGTGGAACTTTAGGTAATAGGCGGTTTCGCGGCGGTTGCGGAACCATTGCTGCGCACATCGTTGCTCGTTCCGCTCCCGCTCTTCTTCCTCCGAAGAAAGGTTGCCGCCATCTATGAACGACGGCGGCCATTAGTTGTCTGGTTTCCGCCGTCGGTCATAGATGGCGGTAGATGTCCAGAGGTTGGTGTCATCATTTCTAACCCGGCGGACACAATCCTGGGGAAACTAGCCCGTAAAAGGGGGGGGGGGGGGGGGGTGAAACGATATCCGGACTTCGGTCTAAAATTTGTGGAAGTTGCCCTCTGACACTTGGGAAGTAAAGAACAGAAAAACCAATTTCGCCCGCGTGTCTTAGTTGTTGTGTAAAAAAAAAAAAAAAAAAAGATAAATATTGTTTTTTTTGGCACCCCTCAACTCACTCCCACCCTTCAGAGTCACACCTGGTCCCCCTACTAGTGACGTAATTCGGAGTACCGTGGGGCTTCCCGTGCGCTCTCCCGGACGACGCTTCCTCTCCCTTTCTCTGCTGACATTAGCGAGCGTTATGCCATATTGTGGCTTAAAATCATGGCTACCAGTTATCTGAAGCTTTATCTGAAATCACAAGAAACGCTTTTCCGTCCTCCACAAATGTTTAAACAGTTCGCGACAGAGCAAAGCAATACCACATGAGCTTCCTAACACCGAATCCAATGCTGAGGAGGTCGCACTTTTGAATCATGACGATCGGCAGTTACGTCTGTTCTGCACAAGCCCCAAAATGGCGGCGCCCACAACAACGCCGGGGAACGGGGTGCCGACATTGTCATGCGGCAGCAGCCCGTGGACGTTTTTTTTCAGCTGGGGCCGTACGTTCTACGGAAATTCATGCGGCATAGTACACTTATGGACCCACCGATTGTTTTCCCTTTTTCTCAGTGATCCATGAGTTGTTGTATTGTTTGTTTGTTTCCATATTATGAATATTGTTCGTTTGTGAGTTTTCTTCCCCATTTTATGTATCTGCTCTACCCTCTACAATACGTTCAGGCCTTGAGGGTGTGTTCAATAAATAAATAAACACGATAAACGGAAGAATGCGTTTGCGAGCAAATCACTTCGACTTGGTTGTCTAAACTCGTGTAGTCACCTCAAGAGAAACAAGCAAGGGTTGCGCATAGTTCATACGCTGGGCGAAATACTTTTTACAAGGTTTGGTTTGCCATTTGATGCATTACGGGAGACTGGGGTGAGAAACACAGCAACAGCAACCGTGGAAGAGAAAGGAAAAAGGGTGACAGGAGGACAAAGTCTCAAACTCAACTAAAAATGTATTCGAGTAAACCTCTTTTATATACAATCTACCCAGAGGGGTTGACCTTTTGTGTGCAAAGGGCGGCGATCTTGGGGGGCATGGATGTATATAAATGAGGCTTACTCGAATAAACTTTAGCTGATTTTGAGACTTTGTCCTCCTATCACCTTTTTCTTTCTCTTTTACAGTTGACGTTTCTAGGTTTCTCGCCCCAGTCTTGGGTAATTCATCGAAATGGTAAACAAACACCAGCTGGATTGTGCTCTTACAGCAATTTCGAAGATTTGATTGTCAGAGCAAAAATATGCATGGCTATTTGCCGTTGAGGCGTGTAAATTTTTCTGAGCTAACAGTACGTGATCTTTAATTTATATTTAGATATCTTAATGTACCATTAAAAGGGGGAAATTTGTAACTCTTCGCAAAGAGCCCAGCCTGTTTTACTGGGGTTCTTGAAGTGACAGCAAGGGTAGGTACTCAATAAAGATCTAGAAAGAGGATTCCAAGGTCGTTAAATTAATTTGAGAGTTAATTTAGATTGACTAAAACACAGCGATAGAGCCTAGAACGGTGCAGCAGTTGCTTGTTAACGCACAAAACGCACATATTCAACCCCCGTGCGCGCATAGAATGCCTTTTTAGCGCTTCGGCATCTGGGTAGAATGAACGTAAATGTCTTATTTACTTGGTTTTATTATGAAATTAATTTTTTAAAATTTATTATACAAAGGAACTTCAAATTATGTTGCTGAACATGTTCTTGCGTGTCCAAGGCACTAGATCTTTCTGTATAGCGCTTCAGAAGAAGTCAAAAGTGGTGCATGCTTAGCTGTTATGATCGGTATAGTACTCGAGCGTACGGGCACTCTTTGCTTTGGTTATATACGTAAAAAAAAAAAAAAAAAAAAAAAATTGTATTTGAGTGTAGTGCCAATGTAATGTTGAGTTTTTTGTTTAGCCCAATGTAATGTTGAGTTTTTTGTTGGGAGGTTCGCTTTGCAATATAGAACTTAAACAGCCTTCGAGGCACAAGCTGAGCTTTGTGGTTAGCGAGCTCAGAGTTCGGAGATTGAGCCGTTCGGATAACGTGCCTCTCTCTTCCACCAAAATACCTAATACATTGCTTGGCCATCGTGTGAAACTCTCGTTTAAATGTCTATTAAATGCGCATATTGTGTACATATGAAAATATGGTCAGATATGTATGCAACTGTGTATGGAAACGCGCCTGTGTGCTGTGTGTTTGTATAAACACCTGACCGGTAATCAGCAGACCACGGTTGAGATGCCGCGACTTCTGGGCAATTTTGGTCATTTTATTTTATTGGTACCATTTATTAATCCGCACATTTTGACTGCGTGTACTTATGTATGTGCCTCTGGCTGTCTGTATGCATACCCGCGTAACCACGCTTGGCCCTCACTGTACAAAGTCACCTCACTGTACAAAGCCAAAGAACCAGTGTCTGTGCGTCTCTATGTACGTTGCCACACCAATGTACCACAGGGTCTTGCTAACCCTAAGGTAGCACTCCAGAGAAACGCCTAACCTTGCACAAGCTTGGCAGTCCTAGGGGCCTAGTTTGCAGCTTTTGCTTTTGCTCCAAGACGTTAGTTAGTGCGGGAATACTTTGTTCGGCGTTTTCTATGGCTTTGTTTTTTGTTTCTGGCTCGTCGCGTAATTATTGCAGTGCCATACTTGAGCCAAGGATGCCACCTATGAAGCGAACAATCAGCAGTGAAGCTTAAATCTTGCACTTGATTGTTTGGCAGTGTAGGCCCAAAGTTGCCACATGAAAACCAAACAACCGGAAGTGAATCCTAATCTCTGGCACTTATTTGGCAATTTAGGCCTAAAAATGCCAGATGACAGTCAAACTGCCAGCAGTGGAGCCTTATAAGTATAACCTTGACATTTGTTTGGCGAATTAGGACCGAAGGCACCCAGCCTCTGGCCGAATATGGTCAAGTCTGGCACTACCTTGACTTGTTTGGGCTTTTTAAGACCCTCAATTCCCAGACAAAAAAAAAAAAAAAAAATTCCAAAGAGCTGTACTCTTTGGGACGTGTAATTGAACGAACAGTTCGCGCGCTATCCAGGTTATTTATGAATCCATCTTGGGAGTGCACGCGCGCATACCAGTCAAGAAAAGCTTTACACCCCTAAAAGTGTAAATCAACTTGTCCCAAGGCTAACACCCCTGGGAACCTTTTACACTTTTTAGTTTTTACATGCATCCTTCAAAAAAGGGGTGTTCCACGCAACAGCCCTTTTTTTGCGATTAAAACGGGTTTATAACACGAAATAAGGGACCATGGTTGTAGGTCTTCAGACACCCCTTTTATGCCCTTAGGGGTGCAAAATATTCTAGTGTCCAGAGCAAAGAGCAGCTTATGGTCATCATGCCAGCTATGGCGGTGGCGCTGGTTGTCGAACAGAGCATGCTTAAATGCTCCGCTCTTAAAAAAAAAAAAAAGTAAAACACACACACACACACACACACACACACACAAAACACGCGTCCTTGGGCAAGCACAGTGTCTACAACACATTTGAATGAAAGCGCTTGTTTGCAAACCATGAATAGGCGTATAAATGACAGTTCGTGCACGAGCGAGCAGCGCGAAGACCCACCCACGGCAGAACGCGAAAGGTCACAAAACATGCCCTAGTTCTCGATCAATGTGCGGTCGAGTCCTTGACTTTTTTCCCGCCTTTGTACAGAACCCTCCAAAACTGCACGAGGTCGACATCTCTATTCGAAAATAAAAATTTGCGGACAAAGCAAACGCGCTTGCTTGCTTTCTAAAGGGGCATATAGTCCGAAAATGCCAACCCGGTGAGCGGAGTGAGACATTTAAAATGAGCGCAACAACTCGCAAAAGAGCTTTACAAAACGCACAAACAAACACACAGACATACACGCAGAGCCCGAGTTGAATTTGGAAGACTGACTCGGTTCCCAAAATAAACCTGGAACCCTGGGTTGGATTCTGTCTGTATTTTATTTTGTTCCGTTGTTTTCTTTCTTTCCCTTTTCTCGTTCTCATTCTCCCTTCTCGCAGAGTCTCGAGGTTTCACGTTGTCTGCGTCTTTATTCTCTTCGCTTTGTTTTTACTCTTCTCTTCGTTTGCGAGGTTCGAGTGTTGCCTGTTGTTGCGATAGGCTTAGGCCCTCCTCGCTCTCGCTGGTAAACAGCTTGTTGTCTCCCCGGTTAATGACGTAGTTTAAGACGCTGCGATCGTTTAAAAACGAAACTATCTTTCTTTTTTTCTTCTTTTTTATTTTTTTATGCGCGAAGATCGAAGATGGCGGCGGTTCGAGGATGCGATGTAGCCGTAATTTCGTTACACTGGTGATGGATGATTGGGTTTGCGGGAAAACGGATCGGAATATTAATGTCTGTGACAGGTGAGAAAGTTTTATCGCTCTCTTCTTTTTTTTTTTTTTTTTTATTTGCACGCCTTAAACGTGAGCGTTAGGTGCTCGTGCATGCTCACTGTATACGTGAAGCTGCGCTTGCACCTATGCAGTTTTTTTTTTTGTTTTTTTTTTGCAGTGCGTACGTGCATATCTATGTTTGCGCACGTGCACGATATATGTCTCCGTGTCTACATGTGTGTGTGTGTGTGTGCATTTATGCTTGCATTGGTTTGTGTTTATTTGTGTGCACGTTTGTGCATGTGTATTTGCGCATGTAGGGGTGTGCATTTGGGTGTTTTAAGCTTCGTGTGCGCGTGTTCCCGTTCATGCACTACGCATGCGCCGTGCAATGTCAGCGTGAAGGAACATGGTGAACCGTGACGAAGATACTCTCGTGTCTTGGATTCATGTATCCTACATTCATGTTTATAGAGTACGGCGTTTTCTTATGGCTAATATACTTGTCAGCTGAGAAGGACACATTTTGTTATAACGCACCTGTTTTATGTTAATATATGTTACTTAAAGATATTTGCGCCCCCTTTCCGGTTCAGGTTTCTCAGTAAAGGTCAAGCTTAACAGGGCCCGGCCTTTATTGGCCTTCAACGCTACTGTCACAGAGCCTCTGTGTGGCACCGGAACTACTGTAAAACAGACCTACAACAATACGAAGAGGAAAGAAGCGCTATGAACATGGGGTCTCAGCTGTTGTGTATAAAGTACCACATAATTAAACAAATTGTTACATTATATTTAGATTATGAGTAGGGCAGAGTTTTTTATGGAGTACATGTCACTATCTGAACAACTAACTATAAAGCATACTCCTAACAACACGAAGAGGAAAGAAGCGCTATGACCGTGGTGTCGCAACTGTTGTGTATGCAGTACCACATAATTGCACAAATCGCGGCATTATATTTAGATTATAAGTGGAGTGCAGAGTTGTTTTTAGAGCACATATATGACTATCTGAATAGCTATAAGCTTGGTGGTTAAAATCATAACTGATTAGTACTGCATTTCAACATTTCATGAAACCACTGTATTTGGTTGGCTACACCGTTACGTAAAGCTACCCAGATATTGCACGTTTAAACAAAAGCACGTTTTCACGTCTTTTCGCGAGTTGGGGGAACAGGGCGCGAACGGGCATGAAAAATTAGCATAATTAACATAAAATAATCGTATGCGAACTGCAAGTTCGTCTGCTCCTTTTGCTGGGGTTGTGCTGACGTCAGAATGCCGAGCCCCGATTGGCTCTGATTGAAGGATAGTGAGTAGACAACAATGGTAGCTGCCCTGACGTCTTTCTTTGTCTTTCTTAGACTTAGGCTAGGTGGCGCAAGCTACCACCCGCTACAAAGGGTATAGCCAGTAACATCCATCCATCCATCCATCGTCTATCCTTCAATCAGAGCTAACCAGAGCTCGGCGTTCTGACGTCACCACAACCCCTGCGAAAGGAAGCAGACGAACTTGCGGTCCGCATCCAATAAGCCTGCCATCCCAAATTAAACACAAGTGGATTCACGCAGCGCCGCCCGGGGCTTGCGTCAACATCGCGGCCAGCGCGTCTTATTGCTGCGTCTCATGAGCGCGACGTTAATTAGCACGCGACGACGCCGAGATGGATCCGCATCTGCCGCTTTGCGGCGGTTCTCGTCATTGAATGAATGGATGGATGGATGCTAACGGCTGTACCCTTCATAACGGGCGGTAGCTTGCGCCACCTAGGCTAGAAGTTAAGAACCCAAAAGTATGATTTCTTTCCTTCTCTGCAATTTTGTTGAGTGCGTCAGCGTGTTTGTCGATTGGGGCGCGCGGTCGAGGAACCCCCCTAAGGATGGCTATAATAAGGGTTCCATGTTTTCGGTATTTATTCTTCTCTTTCAAATTCGGTGGTTCTGTATCGGTGTTTATTTTCCCCCTTCGAATCGGTGTTTTTTCGGTGTCTAATGTTAATGCCGCGGAGAGAAATCGGTGTTTTTGGTGATATATTGTAACGCGACTGTATAATTAGCGGAGAAAATATTATTATAATTTATATTAAATTATGAATTATCATATTTTTTCCAGTAATGCTGGTTAAAAATAAGAGAAGGGAACGGTGCAAGGAATGTGGTTTCGATACAGTTCGGCTGTGTTTCCGGTCAAAAAAAAAAAAAAAAAAAAAAAAAGTAGGGTAGAAATTTTAGTTTCCGCGAAACTGTAATTTTTATACATTCTATTTCTTTGTTCAACGACAGCTAACATTCTGGGCTCTATGGTTTTCACCTATTCAAATTAAGTCGCCTTGGAGCTTACTGTATTTTCCGGTCCGCACAAACCGATTTCCGCTGAAAAAAAAAAAAAATCCCTTAGATAGTTTGCACCTTGTGTATAGTCCTCACGCGATGCATATTCCTAACTTAGTGCCTAATCCGAACGTAAAAATGATCTTACACAGTGCATCTTGACAAATGCCTGCTGTATTAGCCCACAAAGAAGCTTGTACCATACAAACGAAGTGTGATCAAAAAAGTTCAGAGAATAATTTTTTAGCGTAAAAGGAGTGATGCGCGCGCAGTAGTCAGAGTAAAGGATCTTCCTGGCGTCAATTATGCCAAAGGGCGTCGCTCTGCGAACATTTGCAACTGCACTACACGAGTGTGTTTAACCACATGCACGAGCCTAATGGCGACCTTTCCATAGACAGCCAACCAAAGCGAGAGCGAACATCTATTTTACGTCAAACTCGGCAAATCTAAAACAGAGACCTCTGAAATGATTTAGAAGACTTATTTCAAAAAGCAGTGAGGTGTGCGAGGTGTTTTGAGGGGCACTTGCGTCTCAAGAATGGCAGAACGTCACTGAAGTCAAGGAGAGGTCGGAAAAGGTTGCCTTACCGCTCTTCGTCTCCCATGCGACGTTCGGCCGTTACTGAAGCGCGAGTGCTACCTTAAAACACTTAAAAAAATTCACTGTTTTTTTTTTTTTTGACACAAGCCTGCTAAATTGTTTCAAAGAATTGATGTCCGCTCTCGCTCTGGTTTGCAGTCTATGGCGAAATCACCATTGTGCCCGTGCACGTGGTCACAAAAACTCGTGTAGCACAGCTCCAAATGTTCGCAGAGCGACCCGAATTGGTCCCTTCCTTCAACTGCTGCGCGCGCATCAATGTGCTGCCTTCTTTTATTACGCTACAAAATCAGTCTCGGCACTCCCTTTATCACACCTCGTAAATCCCCATTTATATACTCTGTAATTCATAAAAGTCTTCACGTCTTGTCACAGAGTGAACGACACAGAAAAATACAAAACCTCGAATAGTCCTCACGCTGAAGATAGTCCGGACCGGGTAAAACTAAAACTTTTAAACACGCAAAGTTCGCGGACTATACGCCGGAAAATACGGCAATTTTCGGTGTTTATCGGTAAATACCGAAAAATGGAACCCTAACGATTAGGTTAGGCGCAGGCCTTTTCGCCTAGGGGGTACCTGAGCCGGTATACACACTGCTGCGGCATCGGCGCTGCTGCTGCAGATACCAGAGGTGCTGGGCTTCCAAGTGATCGACAGACCACAAAGGCTATAGACCAACACAGTCTTTAAACAAGCCCGTTTTGCCCATGTGCGCACTGCGCGCGAGCGCAGAAACCGAATTCAGGAGGAGGGAAGCGTCTGCGCATGTGCAGTACCGACAGCAGCGCCGCCGCCGTGCCGTGACGTCAGTGAGTTGAGTTGGTCTATAGACTATCGAGACCGGTTATAACGACGACAGTTATTACGAAATAGCGGCTACAGCGAAACGATCACGGTTTCCCATTCCCTTTTGCACTTCGTTATAACTGAAGTCGGTTATAACGAAATAGCGGATATAGCGAAGTGATTTCCGATTCCCGTTGCCTTCGTTGTAAACGGTGTCGATAGTATACGCTCGAATCAGACTTGAACGGCACTCATTAGAAGGAATCAAATTAGTACTCGCGATCGATTGCTTTTGGAGTCACTTTGGAATTATTCGAATACATTTGTTATGAGGTAATCACGAGAGTAATTTGATTACTCGTTGAAGCACTAAAATCGCTTGTAACCGTTCCTAGTTTTCCCTCTCCCTTTTTAATGACGCCTTTAGTTTCTACAAATTTCCTACCCCCCCACCTCCGCCCCCCCCCCCCCCCCCAGAAAAAAAAAAAAAAAAGAAAAAAAAAACTTAGAATAAAGTTTAGGTTTTTTGTAAATTAGCTCGATTATTCTAGTACAACGATGGACGGTACGAGACGCCTGTTTTGAAACCGACGGAAAAATTTGTCGTTTTGAGAACCCGAAGTAATTTGAAAAGTAACGGTTTTTGCTTTTTCGAGTAAGGACCAATTACTTTTCTTCTTACCGTAATCGAGTAATCTAATTCGATAACTTTTAACCCAGTGTAAGTGCAATTGCAATCGATTAGTTCTTTCGAGTAAGGTGTACAAGACTGCGCTCGATGGACCGTCAACTAGAAAATTGTTGCGGCCACGAAAGGACAAGTGTGGACAACGAATCGTCTACAGGCTTGAATACGATAAACGCGTGACCGCCCGATTCAAAGGGGAAAGCCACAAGCACCATCATCATCACCACCATCGGTCTATTACTCTCTGGTTTTGGTGCTTCTTGCTCACAGACCATGCAAAAGACACGGCTTGGCTGCACACATGATGGTAGAACGATCTGTAGACACGCCTTGTATACATATGTACTGTACTGCACTCTGCAGACAGTTTTTGTGTGACCAGCGTGGCGGCTCCGCTGTACGCAAGGAAGGATGGATGGATGGATGTTAATGGCTATACCATTTGTAGCGGGCGGTAGCTTGCGCCACCTAGCCTATCTCTAAGAAGACATCTCAGAGTGACTTCAGATTGTGTTATGCTTGATGTATTAGCTGCGTGGGTTAAGGCTTTTCCCTTCCCACTCCGCAGACGGGGTGCGGCGGCCGTCTCGACAGTTCCCGATGGACAAGTCCAGGCAGCAGGCGACCATCCACAGGGTCCGGGAGCTCCAGCTGGCGGCCGTCCAGGTGGAAGACCACTACGACGTGCTCCGCGAGATCGGCTCCGGAGACTACGGCAAGGTGGTTCTGGCCAGGCACCGCGAGACCGGCTCCCAGGTGGCGCTGAAGGCCGTCCCCAGGGCCACCACCACGCTGCGAGACTTCCTCATCGAGTTCCACTACAGCTACTTCCTGTCTCCGCACATGAGCATCCTGGACACGTACGACGTGTGCTTCGAGACGCCCGAGCACTACTACTTCGCCCAAGAGGTACGCGCGAGGCTGGTTCGAAAACTTTTTTGAACACGAGCTTTTCGTTAGCCGTTTCACATACTTGAACTTCTGTATTCATTCAAACACCTTTGTGCGCGGCAAAACTATTTTTTCTTTACGTGCACAAAGTCACCGAACGCACCCTCAGATGACTACAAACTAACCACTGCACGCTGCTCTTCTTTCGATCGGGTTACTGGTGGGGAAGCTATTGTTTCTCGCATAACAGTCACAAACTGAACTGACGTGGCGCATTCAAACATGCACAGCGCTGACTGTTGAGACATCGACCTCGTACGAAAGCGCCGATAAGACGGCGCGGCCAACAGAAGTTTTAAGATACCCGAGTACTAACACTTTTTTAAACATTCCTCGGGAAGGTGGAGCTCCGTTTTTATGTCGCATTAATTTTAACACTCTAACTTACGAACACGCTCCGATTCGTGGTGCCTTCTAGAACTTAAGGACTCGAAATGGAGCCTCCTGGCCAATTGCAGAAGGTGGCGGTGTCCCGGTTTTTTGGTCCCGCTTAGTTTTGTCGTGTAGATTATGGCCGCGGAAACTGAAACTGAAAACCTGAGTATGCTTGCCGAATGTTTCGTTTTGCATTTATTTATTTATTTATTTAGTATATACCGTATCTGCTCCAGTAATAGCCGCACTTACTGAACAAGGCTCTCGCGTCTACCTGCCTGCAGAACGCACATTCAACGAATCATCGCCCTCTGCATAAAAAAAAAATAAATATATATATATATATATATATATATATATATATATATATATATATATATACAGAGACTAACGAGGCTGCCACGCTGAGGTTTTCGGGACGTATAATTTCAAGTCCAAGATATATCCTATTTCGGAGTCGTAATGATGCATCTTGAACGTGCAATCCGTTAGGTCCCTAATAACCGGAGCTAACATTGTCATGGCATGCAGCGAATTCACTCTAGAATTGCTGTCTAACTAAAACACATTTTGTTTTTATTGTGAAGTGTACGGTCGCGAACCATATAAACTAAAATAGACATTGATTTGGTACCTTCCAGTTCATAATGAAACTTTGATTCTGGCTCGGGCTGGAATAGGAAGTTTGTGTTCCATTCATTAGAATCTTTCACGAATCGAGATATGATGGAGCTTGTAAAGTCCGCAGTGATAACGAAAACACAAAAACGAAAACTGTTTCAGTGTCGCAGATTTTTTTCATTGTGGGGTACATTAGTCCTTTGGATATGATGTATACGGTGGCACAAGCGACAATTCCGCTGTAAAACGAGCCGGAAACATTCACGCCTCCGCATAGAAAGCTCAAACTTTCACGGAATGTTAATTGAGTCTGTCAGTCTTACTGTGTGAAATTCATCAATGTAATTCTCTTCCTGCAAAAAAAAAAAAAAAAAAAATGTGTTGAAGTCAGTGTCGAACGGGTTCGCAAACGACGGAGTTTGCGACGCTATTAACTCGTGGCGCCATCTCCCGATAGATGCAACGAGTCGATGACGCACTGAGTTGTCTGCTGGTTGCGCCTATCGGAAGATGGCGCCACAAGTTAATAGCGTCGCTGTCTCGGTCGTCTGAGAACGGGTGCGACGTTGATTTTTGGCTAGTTGGTTTCTCTCATTTTTTTTTTTTTTTTACATGAAGAGAACTCCGCCTTGAAATTACACACGGTAAATCTGACCTGCTCAGTGCGTATTTGGTGAAAGTTTGGGCTTTCTAAGTGAAGACGCTGGGTTTTCCGGCTCGTTTTACAGCGGAAGATCACGTGCCACCCCAGTCAAAATGGAGTACCTTTATACTGAAAACATGCAACAGGGAGCGCAGGAAAACAAAATAGGTTTGGGTGGTGTTCCCGAGTGTAAATATCCGCTTTAATTAACGAGGATGGTCATTAGCTTTCTATGTATAATACATTGATTTCTCCAGATTTTCCCGCGACAATGTTGCCTTTTGCCCATTAGCGAAATATTTCTTCTTGCCAAATGTTGTACTGAAAAACACCGGAGAAGAATAAAAAAAAAGAAATTGAACAAGTGAAGAAACACAGCAGCTGGGATAGAGTGAGAGACATCACGCTTCACCCAGCGGCCAAGAGCGATTTCACGCTTGATGCTCCACGTTTCACCGTCACCATGGTACCATCTGTAAGCTGGCCGCAATGCCACAACGGCAGAGTTAGAAATTGGGTTGTATATAAAAGGAATCGGGCAAGAAATGTTATTGTAAATATGTACGTGGCCGTGTTCCCAGTCTGAAGCTCCGTGAAGCGCCTCCGCAGAGTGGTAAAACGCCCAATGCGCCCGTGTTTGTTAGCACCTTATTCTCTTCTAGCCCTGGAATGCAATCGGGTGCTGCTTCTTGCTTAAAGATTGAACTCGTTCTGTGGGCTTGAATCATGGAACAGCTCTCGTCCGCGCGATTGTATAGCCCCCCCCCCCCCCCCCCACACACACACACACACACTTCCTAAGCCCACACTATAAAAACGTCTTAAAGAGACGATGTTGTGTTTCTCCCTTTTTTCCGTTGTCCCAATTTAATACAACCGGTGTTTTTTTATTTTTTTTTTTACTATTTTTACGAGCCTTCGAAAGTTCGCGAACGAGTGCATCATTGCCAAGGTTCGGTTTTCTAAAACGAGGCCTGGCTTGTGTAACCCCGTGTTGTTCCAGATTGCAGCGCGCTTCTGCAAAACTGCACAGAAGTTCCGCAACCGGGAGAATTTCAGGCTTGGGAAAATAATTTAGATCCGTTAGCGCGAGCCATTTCTGGCTCTGCTTTGGTGACTGGTCCGAGAAGAGACGCGGTCTTGGCAGACGGCTGTCGGCCCTAGCAAAAAGATTTTTTGCTTTCTTTTTTCGTTTTGTTGATGCAGTTGGCTGTCTTTTTCTCGAGATTTACGATGCCTCTTTTTTCCTTAAGACACTTTGGTATATGTTTTTTTTTTTTTCGCTTTCGAAGCTGATTAGTACTACCTATAAACAGCCATATTTTTACCTTTTCAGTTTCCGCTGGCAGGCGGTCCTTACAACAATATATAACAACGAGTTTTTTTAGTTTTTTTTATAGATAAACTGCAAAAATATACAAAATTATTCTTACTTTATTCGTTTAGAAATGTTCTAGACGCCAGCTTTTTCTTTATTCCTCGAGTGTAAAACAACTACGATACGCACCCTTCGGTCTAAATGAGGACAAAATTATTTTATAGATGTGTAAAGAAGATATTGTCTCAACTAGGAGATCTTTCGACGTCACTTACGCTTTCGTAAAATTCTTAAAGTAACGCGTGCCTTGAATGTATTTTTGTGGGACATGTGAATGCACATGACGCTCTAGGTTACAAGATAACGGCACGCTGATCAGCTTAGAATTACTCAATCTCCCTCCCTGGTCTCATTTAATTTTTTTTTTAATATTTGCATTTCTAAATATTGCAATGTTTTACAAGGTTGTAGCAGGGGTGGGACACAAGACAACATCGTCCTCAATACAAAAGTGAGGCCGATTGGACCTCCGCACATACAACAGCATAAAAACACTATTTCAACGACATTGGTACCTTTAAGAGTAAATACAGAAAACACAATATAACCTCGTGGAAATGGAGCGTGCTGGTTAAGTTCCGGTGTTTGTGGAGAATAACATAGAGGACGAAAACAGGACGACACGTGTCGTCCTGTTTTCGTCCTCTATGTTATTCTCCACAAACACCACCACAATATAACCATCGAAGATATTTCACAATACGCTGTTAATCTCACAAATAAAATTTCCTAGCTCGAACTCTCTAACACTTCCCGGGAGTTTATTCCTAATATCAATGCAGTGAGGGAAAAAATATCTAAAGCATTCCAGTGAACACAAGTAAGGGACAATGTTGAGGCAATGGCAGTTTCTACTCGAACGTGATTTTTTAAAATGAAAAGTAAAGGGGGAAGGGAATGGCAATAATAAATTCTTACAATCTGATAGAACATTTCTAACGTAGAATGCGTTTTTGGCAAAGGTAGCTTGGTGGAAACATTATGCACCAAAATGAGACGTGAAGGTTAACTTGGTGAAAACACAAGACTCCAACGAGAGACGAGAAAACGGGTCGCAAAGGAGTTACGACTGAGAAAGCAACATGTAGTCACCGTCAGCCACATAGTTCCCCGGTCGCTGGTGGCACCCCACTCCCATTGGCTGACTTAAGCGGTCACGAGACCAAAGCGACCACTAATGGAGGTAGGGCCTGTAGCCGCGCCATGAGTCCGCGTCTACAAACAATTCCTGCGAAATTTACCGACCCAAAACCGTATTCCGCTGTGACAACTGTGAGCTATGGGACCAGAGTACGTTCACACATCATGGTCCCTGCAAAAATGTTCCAAAAGCCGGGATTCATGATTAAAAACAAATACCTCCGACTTGCATAACAATACCAACAATTTATCAGACGTTTCGTCTCCTATGCGGGAGACATCATCAATGCAGCCTGGGTGTTCCCATCAGTGCGGCCTGGGTGTTCCCAGGCCGCACTGATGATGTCTCCCGCATAGGAGGCGAAACGTCTGATAAATTGTTGGTATTGTTATGCAAGTCGGAGGTATTTGTTTTTAATCATTGTCCCTGTCCCCTTTGCACCAAAGTGCAGATCAGACAGGCTATACTTCGTTTCAGATTAAGTCCTATACCGTAGCCAACTCTGTGACCCGATGAAGACAACCAAGCAGTGCCAAAAGTGCATTGTCACGGCTCTCGTCGTTTTTGTGCATTTTTTTAATTACCAGCTCAACCAATCACACACAAAAAAGAATGGGCAGGATAACGCCGTAATCACTGCTCGTGATTGGTTTAGCGTTGACAGCAAACGCTCAAAGACGAATAGCACCTTGACGGTATTCGCTTTTGACGCTCGGACTGAAGGTGAAACAAAGTATGGACTCTCTTGTGTTACATAATTTTGTTTAAGGTTAATCTGCTTCTTTAACATTGATGTCACTCATGCAAGAATGACGGTGCGATTCCAGGTGGCCCCCTACGGCGACTTGTGGCACGCGGTGGAGTACTACGGCGGCATCGACGAGCGGGACCTCAAGATCATCTTGAGGCAGATCATTCCGGCCTTGGAGTTTATGCACAGCAAGGAGCTGGTGCATAGGGATGTCCGCGCTGAGAACATCCTCATCTTCAGCAAGGACTTCACCAAGGTTAGACAACAACCCTAACGGCGTCTTAAAAAAACAATGCACACTAGCAAAAAAAAAAAAAAAAAAAAGGGGGCGGGGGAGGGGGAAGGGGGGGGGGGGACTGGGCATCCACCTTTTGCAGACGTATGGATTGGAAAATATGTGACCAGAAAGATCAGCACCCTCTGGCTGTATACCTGTCTCATAGATACTGCTGGCTGATTGAGACGCTGTGACCAAGCTAGAACTCCCCTTGAAATCGCCTTTGTCCCGATTGTAGATTACCTTTCTCCTCGAAGTGGGTACAATAAGCCATTTTAACTCTCATCCCGACCAGAACGAAAAAGCAGAAAGAGATATTTCCAATTACAGTAACTCTCGGACCAGTTTTTCTGCAAAAAGGTGGATATTCAGGAACACCGACATTCCACTGAGGCGCTTGGTGTGTTCGCGTCACATCAAGCTAGTTCTGCTGTCTTCCCTGTCGGCTTACAGACATGCATTTTGCTCCATGGAATTTCAGAAATGAGCAAAGGGACTCCTACCGCATACGTGATTCAGCATTTTTCCTGTTCAACGAGCATGCGCCATCATAAGGTCGCGCAAAGCTGCGTTTCCAAAATCTGCTTATTGGAAGCTGGCCGCTTGAAAAGGCAAACAATTCCTACGTACTTTGACGTATTGATTAGAAATAGGGTCAGCCGAGTGCTGATGCAGTCCCCGTGTCCAATCCGGGCCTGCTCTCGATGTCACTGCGATGCCCTCAAACTTCTAGCGCAGAGGCTTTGCTTATTCTAGGTCAGGTGTCCTAAAAACACGAGACTCGCGGGGACCCGTTCGGTCCATTTCCGCTGAAAAAATAGCTCCGCTCCTATGACTAGTGATGTACCGAATCTGCCGAACTTCAGATTCGGCAAAGTTCGGCACTTGAAGGAAAGTTCGGCAACGATTGGGCAAAAATTCGGCAGACTTCTGCGCACGCGCGAGAACGCGACGGCGCAATGGATTGCAAATGAACGCCGTGCAGTCGTGCGGTTACCATTGCACAGTGTAGTACTACCAGCGGTTACTGCGAGGTGCGGAGTATACACGTTTGCAAGTCCGGCTTCAGGGCGCTGCCATCTTGCTTGGCTGGGGTGCAATTGTACGACTCATAATCCGATTACGAAGTCTTGCTAAGGCGTCGTAATCGGATTAAGGCCACCCCACTGAGGAAGATGGCGGCGCCCTGAGGCCGGACTTGCAAACGTGTATATGGTAACTGTGTATTTGTCAGCCTTTGCGAGTGTGGTTCTCTCTTCAATATTTTCTGCCTCAAGAACAGAAGATCGACCATGAAGTGACACAGTCCACTACCGAAGTGACAAATGATGGCGTGCATTCTGGATGACGTGATTTTCATTTGATCTTTCCAGTGATGCAACGAGGTAGTTGCAAAACTAACAAGTACTTTAAAGCACTCCTCGCCATTTAAACAATCCTGTTTTCGGCTCACAAGTAGTTTGTGCCAAAACAAATAATATTTCTCTTCAATTAGCGTTATTTCGCGGTTTTCATCTATCCGCATAAAACCAAACGCAGAACTATCATGCCCTCGACGTTGCAAATCCGACATTCCTAACTCTTCCCATCCTCCTCAACGTCCGTCTGTGTCCTAACATCAGAAACCGGCATTTTGAAAGTTAAAAACGAGACGTCGCGAATATGGGACGCACACTTTCATGCAAAGCTGAAGTGACTTAAAGCGAACAACATGCACATTTACAATAATATTGTTATCTGTTCTGGTGGAGGCTCAGCAGCCGTTGCATTCATTTCCGCGCATGAAATGGTGACTCGCAGAGAATATAAGAACAGTGTTACCGCTTTTAATTCAACAACGTACACATTTGCAGGTTTGCGCTGATGAAGCCTCAAAACCGAAATTCGCGTATCGTGATTCGTGACTGCGCCTGCTACTACCCGATTTCGTTGTCACACCACTTCTGCAAAAAGTCATGGTAAAATTGTCAGTAAACACACAACAAATGACACCGATACAATTATGTTTCAGAATATCACCTTATTTTGTAATAACTGTGTCAATATGCACTTATAAGGAATCTAAAAACTTTTTTCGCCCGCAAAAAAAGGAAATATCAACTTTTCGGTCTTGCAACAATGTATTTTTGCCGAATCTTTAAAAAAGTTCGGTAAAATTCGGCTTTACCGATTTCTAAGATTCGGCGCCCAATTTTTGATTCGGCAAAAGTTCGGCCCATCACTACTTATAACGTACTCACGTATTTTTATATATTCGAGAAATGTTGAACCTGTTTACTTCGCAAGAAAATCGAGCGACACGGTTAATGTGCTTACTCTCTTGTTCTAATTAAAAAAAAAAAAAAAAAAAACAAAGAAAAAAAAAACAAGCACGTTAGCGGCGCGGTGTAATTTTAAATACTTTTATCAGATGAGGGATGTAGTCACATAAGAAATCAAAGCTAAGGATGTCACCGCTAAAATGGCGAGTTTACGGAAAGCAGACTGCACGATGTCCCGTCTCTAGGAAATCTCATATGTACCGCTGAGCGACTCGGCTACTTGACCACGTGAAAACCACCGCTGTTATTTTTATGTACCTGAAGCACAACACCCTGTCGTTCCCCAGTCCTGCGTCGGTTCTCAACATTTCGATGGTGCGCTACCTAGCCCCCGCACTGAAATAAGCTTAAGACCCCTGTTCTAGCTGACGTCGGCCAGATACCCTGGTTAAGCCCTCCAAACCTTTACACTAATTGTGCGACCTCCTCTGTATCACACAGGTAAAGCTGACTGACTTCGGATTAACCCGCAAGGCCGGGACCCTGGTCAAAAAGAGGACGAGGTCCCTGCCGACTTGTCCTCCAGAAATCTGGGAAGCCGTGCACCTCGAGGGCTACTCCGTCGAACTGGGCTCCGACGTGTGGCAGATCGGCATGCTCATCTTCTCCTCGCTGACGGCCAAGTTCCCCTGGGAGAAGGCGGACATCACGGACTCGCGCTTCAACGAGTTCCTGGACTGGCAGAAGCGGAAGACCACAAGGACACCGCGGGAGTTTAAGAGGTTCACGCCGCGGTTGCTGCGGATGATGCGGAGGCTCATGGAACCCAAGCCTTCCAAGAGGTACCCCGTGACCGAGGTGAACAAGTATTACGGGGACAGATGGCTCATGGTCAGGTCTCCGAGGACGTCCAAGGTGTCCGAAGTCTGGGACACGGTGGCGCAGGAACAGCGGCTCGGCGAGGAGTTGATGTCTTACAGCAACAGCATGGAGCAAAGGATTCACAAGTGGATACTGTCCGGGAGCGACGAAGACGTCAAAGACAGTCAGTAGCTGTTGGAGTCGGAGGATGACGTCACAAACCTGCTGGTTGGTTCAGCGCTGGGCTGCCTTATGGTCAAGACGGGATTGCACCGCGGTAACCCTATGCAGGTTCAGCGAGATTGTGTGTTCTAAAAGTTAGGCGTTTTGAGGCGCCATCTAATGAAGGTTTTGGAAAACATTTGAACTTAAATTTCGAGAGGACGGTGGCTTATCTGTGCCTGTCGTATGTATTTTTTTCTTGTTGTTTGTTTGAGCCTATTCTCGCATTTTATTTCTCAACGTGGAGAAGCGCTGCGCTTCGTTGAGACAATAACAAATGGTAGGCGTGATGTCTCTTTGAGGCTTGTCTAAATGGTAACATGAATCGTGGATAGATGCGTCTACTGTGTTTGAAATGTTTTTGATATTTTCTGAAATTGTTGTTTTTCCAAAGCACGAATCGACAACGTCGATGTAAATATAAAGTAAATGCGCATATATTTTAATTCGGAATGGAATATGCTAAATTTCTGATCTACTTATAACATTAAGATTGACTTTATGACCGTAAGAACTCGATGAAGCAACAGGAGTAGCGCCCTATGTTTCTTCAAGATATTACACCAGTGAACGAAAATAAGTCAGCGCGCAGGCGAGTTGGTGGAAGTTTACCATGATGCCAAATTAGTAACTAGGAGTAAACCTAGTTACACACCCTTAGAGCGGCATAAAGGAGCGGGTATATTACCTCAAACTCCTCGAACGTACACGCAGTAATAAAGAGGGAATACCTTGCCTTCAGTATCTTCACGGTTTTCAGAGCTGCAATCTCGTCTTGTCCCGTCCGTATTGCTGACGTGTCAGTTCCCACCGGTCATAATCAGCCATCAGGAGTGGGTGCTGATCGAAGCCATTGGGCATTGCCTGATGGACTGATGCATCCGCATTGAATGGCCGAAAAGGCGTCGATGAGTACGTAGAGACCGGCGCGTGTTGACGACTTACAGCCGATTCGAGGAAGATTGATGTCTGAAGGAATCGATTCGATGTGTCTGGGTTTTACCTTTGATCAGTGAATCTTTCTTTGATCAGCGTAGGTTAAAGTGGTCACCAAACAATGCTTTACGAGAACGTCTGATTTTGTACGTGTAGGTGCGCCCAACCGGCTTATAGTGTTGACCCGTGTGTTGTGCAGTGGTGTGGACGGGAGTCTCGCATAACTGTTCGCAAAAGCTGAATATTTAGAGTCGGTCATTACAGAGTGCACCAACGTTGACTTCCGGAACACGCAGCGTTGAAGTGCAACGTCAGCTTGATGACCGCAAGGTTGGTTTCATGAGCTCCAGCGTCACCTATGCGGCCTGTGTCGGTTTTTGAGCATCGGCTGACTCTGCAGAGACTTTGCCTTCAGCCCGATCACTTACATTCAGCCAGGGTAGATACCGTCTGCGTTCAGCATCGGAGTTCAGCCACTGTGTTCAGAAACTGCGTTTGGCATCGGTGATGAATGATTGGCGGCTGCGATCGGCGTGCAACAAAACCGGCCTTCACCAAAGTTGCACTTCAAGTGACGAGCCCAATGCGTCAGAGGGTGACTCCCGGGTCTTTTTTTCTTTTTACTTTTCAGTGTGACCTTGAATGGAGATGTATTGTGGGAAAACTTTGATATACTTGGGAATATGACATGGGGATGGCTATGAGAACGGTTTGAAGCGATGCAATTCAAACAAGTGTCAAGGATCGCCTGGAGGAATTATTCAATTTTGTTATCACAGAAATAAATAGGGAAAAATTGTGCTTTTGAAACAAACCAGATCTTGTTATAAATAAAGGTATCATAATTGAAGGTACTCTTGGAGCAATTTACTTTGAGTATTTTATTTTGCGCATGGTAGCATTGTTTTTGTTATCATATTACTTATATACGGCGGTGAACACACATTTTCACATGCCCTAAGAGATGCGGCAATATGCATTTTTTTTGCGTACTTGAAGAAAACATTTATTATCAAAATTTAACCCAAAAATTCGAACATAAAAAAAACTCTCGAGTTTCAAGCGCAACTTGCTAGTGCCGCCTTTATTACCTGTTTGCCGAGCACTACATTAGCAGTTGTCTAGTTCTTCCGGGCGATTCTGGTGGTTTAATGTCGTTCACATTTGAGACAACCGGGACATCTTGGAGTTAAGAGAGTCCAGTCGTGTTTGATGAAGTTCTGAGCTTGCCTAGAAGTGTTTTTTTTTCTTCTTTTAGTCACCGTACGAAAGTCAAAGTGTTATTTATACCTCAAGAGTGTCGGGCCTGGCTCAAAGAAAAGCAGCAGCACCAAATCAAAGAGACCCCAGAGTAGAACTGTCCGTGTTGCTCGTCGTTGTATCAACTGTTTAATGGTGTGTATTTTGACTGTTGTAAACATTTTTAATATACCTTACCTTCCCGTGTACAGAAGCTGTTTTACAAGTACCTTTTACCGCCCGGTTACTTCTGGCTCTCTTCGATATTCTCAAGCAGGGTAATTAAAACGACCTACGTCTCTTAAAAGGCACAAACCTATCTAATTTTGTTTCATAAGAGAAGTCTTTATCCATATTTTACCCACAACAAATAACCATCGAATGTTTGCGAAGAAAGTGTCTGAGCCACAATTTGTTCATATTTATTAAAATTGAAGCTGCCTCGTGACGAAGGAATTTAAAATAATTGAACTTAACATGTACATCAGATGTCTTACGATTATATTAAACCTATCAATCAGCTGTCTTACGTGGGAATCTCGCCGAATTTCACTTTCTAATCTTGGCTCTAAAACTTATCGGACGAGATTTGCCTCAAGATATGCTATTACAGATGCCCTCCGTTTGTACATCGAACGTTTTAATACATCGCTGAGGAAACATTGCGGTTAAGTGAGATTGAAAACAAACAAACTTAATTTGATTTATGAGCCGTTTCTATTCAAAGTTACAATGGCACAATTGTTCACTGAGACAACACATTTCCCCAAAGGTTATTTATTTAGGAAAATTTTATAAGAAAATATTTCGAGTTACAGGTCTTTCAATTTGAACTGTTTAATTTAACATGCATTATACAACTGAAGCTTTTGTGTGTGTTTTTTCCAGATGCAGGATTTTTGGGTTTTTTTAGTGGAAAACCTAGATTGCAGTCTTCCCTTCTTCGTGAAAGATAGCTCTAAGAGATCTCATTATTTAGTGTTCTAAAGTTGCGAAAACCTAAAATGTTCAATAGAGAGTGCGTTGGAAACTGGTAGGCGATGTAGCCCGCAAACCACTTTCCTTTTTTCAGAGTCTGCACGAAGTTAATTCAACCGAATTTGTGATCAAACAACATCATATAGATGAATGAGTAAATTAGCCTTGAAAGATTCACAGTTTAGATGTTAAGTTTAGTGCACTCAACTACTATAAAGCCTCTATAAGCTGAGCCCTTTTCATGTAGGTTCGAGATCATTGTCGTCTCCGCAACCGTTCTAGACATAGATGTAACATGATTAGGCTGTAATGTGGGGTAAAATCCTAGGATCTCGTAGTTCAGCAAAAAATGTAGTTCAGAATTCAGCGCAGTTTTCCAGAATAACCCTAACGTCAAACAATCCCCCAAGGGCTAGACCACATGCAGTGCATGGTCCTGCTAACCTATTTGGAAACTGTATCACGAGAGTTGATGTAATTATAGAACGTCTGCCTGGCTCTGTTTTGTTAGTGAAATAACAGCGATGACGATTTTTGCAAGTCACGGCACGTCCTAAGGTACTCACTCCCTATGTATATTTATATAAGGCGTGAGAAACTCCCTATGTTTCCTACTTAGGGAGCTGCTCACTTCATATGTAGGGAAACCTGCATATGAAACTCTTGTGGGAATGTTTCTTACACTACAAGGTTCGCGCGTGATCTCGTTGATGGGCGGCCCAGTTGATCGTATTCGCGTCTTTCATGATTGAACCGTTATTCTATGTAGGAATTTGATAAAGATTTAGTCCTTAAATTGGTATTGCAGGTTGCTCTAGTTTAACCAAGTATTACGAACATTTGTTTTGTGGAAATGAACGTTGCTGATATAAGGAGCTTACTGTTGAGGGTTGAGTAAATGCACTTAAACATATCATACACCCATTAGCTTCGCTGTTTCTTGATAGAATATTGCCAGTGTTCGGTCATGGCCACTGAATATTTTCCTTGGAATTCGTTTGATGTTGAAAGCGAAACATGGTCGCTTCCTACCAGGAAATGTTTTTTTTGTTTTATTTTGCGGCACTGTACAAGGTGATTCGGAAGCGTTCGGAAGTTTTTGTCTGATGTATGCACCGGTCTTGCTTGTTTTGTATACTTGTTATTTAATAAAAAAAAACAAAAACAAAAAGCACTTATGAGTTTGAGTGCGAAAGCATGAATGTTGTTCTTTCGCTCCCTTAGTCCATCTGCGGCGTAGTGGCGCGGACGGCAACGTTTCGCCGGCCGACGGCCGAGCGCACGCTCGTAAAGTGACCGCGCCACGCAGAGCTCGGCCGTACAGCCTCTCCGGAGTTTGCCCGGGCGGGCTGTGCGGCCAGGCCCGCACCGCCGCACTTCTTACCGGCGGCCGGGCCGCTGCGTGCGCTGCGCCGCCATAGAGAGGGCTTCTCTGGTGTCCTTTTTTGGAACTACGTCGCACGAGGGCCAATGGGAGCCTCGTTATTTGATGACGCGCGCCAGCCAATGGGAGCCTATCCATCAGAAATAGGCTTCAGTTCGCTCCATTGGGACAGGGAGTTTAGGTGCCGTTTGGCGCGGCTTCAAAGCTGATGACGCATTATTACCGCCATAAGTACTCAGAGCAGTTCTTATAGATACCACTTCTGTCTTTTGCTAGCGGACATCTTGGTCTACTGGCTGTAGAAGGTCTTCTAGGCATGTGCATGTAACTCCCTTCTGCGGAATACCACTCTGCGCATGCGTCGGCAGCCCAGTGATTAGGCATTTTATGCATAAACGATAAGCGCTGAAAAAAAAAATGTATCAACGAGTTCAATTCTTTGACGTCATGGCACTGCGGTGGCGCTGCTGTCGGCACTGCGCATGCGCAGATGCTTCTCTCCTCCCAGGTTTGGTTTCTGCGCACGCGCGTTTTTGACTTAGTTGATTCACTCTGACTGACTCTGTGAAAAAAAGGTATGACAAATTGGTAGGTTGCATACGTAAAATCTTCCAGCATCAGAAACGTTTAGCAATACTCTGAGTTTCCCGTATTCAGGGCTGATAAACTTGGCGATCTTCCAGAGCCTTCCATACTCTCAGCTACTTTCCCTGATTGCGCACAGGTGGTGGAGTTCCTCCTCGCCTACCCCTCTGGTCACGTGACCTCCCCCGTTCACCAATCGGCATCGAGCTTTGCGGCCACGCTTATCAGGCTTCACAAAATGCTGAGCACCTAGCCAAAGAACGTTTCACGTTAATAAAATGTAGTCTGAATTGCGTGTATTACCGTTCATTCTCAGAAATCGAAGAGCTTTTGGCATTGCGAGAAGCCGGAAAAAAAAAGGGGGGGGGGGGTTGTGACGGAATATTTTACACTTTGGATGGGTTGCAGAGTGGCATAGTTGGTGAAGCGCAGAGGCTCTATACTTCGTCTCAGTTTAATCTTAGACGCAGCCAACGCCATGAGCTTATGGAGCCATAGAGTTATTATTATGTACGCTAGAGGTTCTACTGGTACTAGCGCCTATAAAACAGACAGCAACCAGTCTACTTTTGCAGTGCTCCCGTGCATTCCTGCGGGAAAACGAGCGTACATTTTGTCTCTTCGCCGAAAAATGACATGGAACACTTGTTGTTTGAGTCTGGCGAATAGTATGTACCTCTCATAACATTGTAAAAGTGCGATTGCTTTAGTTAGCACATTTTTCTTCATCAGTGAACGATGTTTAACTTCGCTACATTTCAGGCCCAAACCTTTATTCTAGAGCAGGTGTCGAAAAACAAGCGACGATTCAAAGCAAAATAACAATCAAAAGGAATATAGAGTGTGTTCGAGGCTCGCCACCATTCCGGTGACGCTCATATATTGATAATATGCCAGTCTTGTGTTTATATGAAAGTGACCCCGTCTTGCATTTTTACGACCGGTTAAAAACATTGAAACGCAAAGAATAAAGACCGTTATCTATGAAAGGTGTCTCTTTTTATTATTTTTTATTTTTTTTTGCCGGGCAGTCTTTATTGGGCACTTGTTATCAAAGAGTTCGAGCGTGAGGGTGATGTTTTGAACGTAGAACAAGCAGCTTCGCACAGAGCAGAAAGAATAAAGCGGTACTTATTGAAAATCGTACTAGTTTACGTTGCGCTCAATTTATTTTGATTGTACATGCACGGAGATTTACTGATCTAGTGTTACTGCGTGGTTATTGCCGTCTTTCTTATGTTCCAGATGTTCTTCGTTCGTTTGGCACGTATATCCACCATGCTGAAAAGCGCCGAAGCCGTGTTCGCACTGACAGTGTCCGACAGTGCACAAAAATACACGTATGAAGCCGTTTTAGCTCCGTTTTTTATGTGTATAATTTGAAAGAAAAACGTCGTAACTGACCAATTATTTTGTCTGCGCGACTGAAAAATGTTTGAAGCTACCTTGTACGCACGAATTATTACGGATATTTGCTCTTATAACGGAGCGGAAAAAGAAAATGCACTCACTTTTTCACATAAAAATGCATTACCGGAAGTCAGTTTTCGACTGGTTGCTGTCTAGACAGCAACCAGTCGGAAACTGACTTCCGGTAATGCTTCAATTTGCCGCAGAACACTAGCACCAATAGAGCCTTTTCAAACGTCCGCGCCAACCCCTGTCCGT